ACGTCTTTGTCCCCGGCGTGTCCTCTTCGGCCCTGGCATATTTTTCTATCCTGGCCATGAGTTCCTCTATGCTTTTTGGCAGTGTCTTTGCCAGTGATTTTCGAAGCAGGCAATCATCTTTCAGGCCGTTTTTAAACGACACGACCGCCACCTCTTGGTTGCATCCTGGTATTCGGTTGAATACCTCATAATACCTTTTGGCATAGGCCCTGAGGCTTTCGTCCTCGCTAATTCTCAGAGCCATCAGGGCGTCCACCCTCAATGGCTGTAGTTTGTTTATCACGAACCTGGCCACAAATATCTCGTCCAGGCCTTCCCAGGTTTTCACAGTTCCTTTCTGCAACTTGTGAAACCAGTCCGATGTAATCTTCCCGAAGGATGAGGGGAACACCTTGCAGAGCAATGGCTCGTTCCCAGTGTACAATGCCATCGAGTTCAGGTACAAACCGACGTGAAAGTTGGGGTCCGACATACCGTCGTATATCTAGAATCTCGGCATGTTAAACCTCTTCGAGGCTACGAATTTGATGAATTCTACCGAGAACGGCGTTCTTGGCTTGATCGGGGAAGTTACCTCGGCATCTTGTTGCTTCCTCTGGAGGTAATCCCTCAGATCCTCCGTGGTCCGTCTAGGGGCTCGGCTATCGACGGATTTCAGCCTTTTTGGAGCACTACTCCAAGTTTCATTATGAGTCCTTTTGGACCTTTCTCTAGTAGTTGCGTCGAAACACAGCTTCTGCCCTTGAACATGCCGATGTTCTTTGGGGTCAGCTTCCTTGGCGCGATGCGTCCTCCGAGAATCTCCCATTCTTGACTCTCCTCGCCTGACCTCCCTTGAAGGCCGGTGAGAGTGGTTCTTGGTCCTGGTGTGCTAGGGGATTGTAAGGACTGTTTTCTGCCCATCTTTTCGGGCATCTTTCTTGGCCGCTAGAATCGGCGTATTTTGTAACGGGAATGGTGGCTACATGACATTGTTCTGCATCATGAAGTTGACGATTGTTTGTAGGTCTGCCAATTCGTTTGCCATTCTCTTCATCTCGTCGTCCCTCCGCAAGGATCTTTCTTTCCATACCTGGAGGTCGTCCTCGTTATAATACCCGTTTCGGTCTGATTTCTTCGGTGCGTCGCCCTCCTGGTCGACTTTTTTTCTCCGTGATTCTTATCACAAATCTCTTTGTTGCAGTTGTCTTCTTCGACGTCAAGGTCAATATGTTTCCCACTCCCAGTAGGAGTGTCGTCTCCAACCTTCTCTTTCTATCCATTGTTGGCCATCTATTCTTCTTTCTTTCCCACAGACGACGCCAAATTATGTGTGTCAATTTCCGATCACACTGCTAAACATGTACTCAGCTGGAGAACACTGGCAGAATAGATTAAGCCCGAACGACCTGTCAACAAAAAGAAAAGATTCCGGCTGTGGTTTGTCCACCTAGGGGCACTCCGACGATCAAGTCAGTTATCTCTCAAAAATAGCAAAAGTGCTTAACTCACTATTCAGAATACAAAAAGCGTATCTTAGACCCATGAGGGTGCCTCTCTTTTATAGGCAATACAAACCTAATCCCAATAGAAGCCTAGTTTCAATGGACTCTGAATTACTGCTAATCTTGGACTTCTAGTAGGATTGGGATAAACACTCTAAGAGTCTTATCTTTACCCAAACTGAAGTCCTCTCCCAATCTAGGATTCTTGTCCCTTATCCGCTTACCCTGGATTCCGATATTCTCGCAGATAACCTCGGCCTAGCCGAGATTATCTCGGCATCATGTCTAGGACACATGGAACCTCGACCACGTATTGTCATTCAGAAATTACGTCCCCATATTAATCATAATAGTCGGCTACTTACATTAGTTGAAGTTGAGTAGCAATGCCACCCTTTCGTCAATCTAGAGTTAATAAGGCTGACGAAAGTGAACAAAAACGTGACATTTATTTCATCTTATTAGCATCCTTACACTTTTATTAAAATTTTATTTTAATAAAAATTTTATTTTAATTCTTACATTTTTACTATCTCATGCACATTCATTCACTTTTAATTTTTATCAACCTTTTTTAATGATAGATTGATGGAAGGGTGAGATTGCAACTTGACTTAAACTGTCATAATTGAAAGTGAAAGAACTAAAGTAAGATTATAGCGAAAATCCAAGGAGCAAAGTATAATTAACCACAAAAAAAAAAGGGCAATGATTGGTGGCCACAAATTCTGTGGCTCAAATAGCCCGAAAATGTCAAAACGACGTCGTTTTGGTATTTTCAGAGTTGTTTTTTGTACTCAAAACGACGTCGTTTTAACATTTTCAGGTCATTTAAGCCACATAATTTGTGGCTACCAAACATTTTTAAAAAAAAAAAAATTGACTATGGAAGATATGCTCCGCCAAAAGTTGCAACTCCTTCTGCATAAGAATATGTTTGCTTTGCCCACTGAGGTATAAACTTTATTCTCATACAAATCTCATGTGTCATCTATTGCTTTCTGGTAGCCTCTACTAAACAAGGTTCCAGACTTTCCAGTATTGAGTATATATCTTCCAAGCCTAAACCTTTTGGTTTTTGAAAGAACAGTACACTAGACATATAGCAAAAACAACACACTCTTTAAACCACTAAAAAGGCTGACAGTGTTGGAGGAATATTTTTCAGCTTGTCTACTTTTTTGTGCTTATAAATAAACACTGAATGAGAAGTTACTTAACAAAAATATTTTTGAAGAACCATTGTCATGGCAGAAGAGAAGAAGAGGAGTGCCATGAGAGGATGCATCAAGGCTAGCCAAGGGCCTTGGGTGGTTCATAGAACCACCAAAGATGGAGATGTTGCCACCAAATATCGTTTTCCTACCGACAGAGAGCGTCAAAATAATAAGAATAGGGAGCGAAGAAGGCGGGCCATGACTCAAAAGATTTTTGCAGGGCTCCGGGCTTATGGAAACTATAAGCTTCCAAAGCATGCAGATAACAATGACTTGTTAATGGCTCTTTGTGAGGAAGCTGGGTGGCATGTCAAGGAAGATGGAACTGTCTATAGGAAGGTGAATCTATTCCCTCATAAATTAATGAAACAGTGTTTTATTAAATAGAAGTTTGCAGAGCAAATAGCAATTTGAATTTTATTTGTTTTCATGCTTTGACAGGATCCCACATTGGAAATGCCTAGTTTGATCAACAAAAATACATATGAGGAAATACTTATGGAAGCTCAATCAGAAAAACAAGAATTCTGTACTTGCAATGAGCAGATTCGTTCTCAAATTATTGAAGACATTTGGCCAAAAACTATTTTGTTCAATGTTGAATCTCATGAACGTTATGATATCAATTTGACATTATCGATGTCATTATCACATTTTTAGCCTAAATTAATATCAATTTGACATTATTGATGTCATTATCAGATTGTTAGTCTAAATTACTATCAATTTGACATTATCGATGTCATTATCACATTTTTAGGCTAAATTTTTATATTTACAAATATAGAAAAATCATTTTCATATTATACGTATTTAAATTAATTAGTGCATAAATCAATGGCATTAACAATTTGATCATTATTCTTGTAAACATTCTCATTGGTATATACTTGTCGCTGTTATGTGATGATTGCCTACATTATTGTTGATTAATTTTGTTTTTTATAAGTTAAATTCGATAATATTAATTATCATCGCCGATTGCTTCATTAGTATACTCATTATCTCAGCTTTTTATTATTTTCTAGAATTCAATTCGATGATGTCAAATATAATTAGACTATATTTTGATTTGTTTTTATTTTTTTTCCCCTTCAATTTGATTATTAAACCAATATAGTGCTAATTGAGATGATAAACATACTTATTACAGCATTATTGTCACATTTATATATCATATTTTTATTTATCATCGTATGTGTCGATATTTTTTGATTTAATCGTTTATATTATTCATGTTTGTTATCAATTCAATTGGGGTCATATTATTCATGTTTGTTATTAATTCAATTGTTACATTATCAAATGATAAACAAAATGTAACAAAAAAATTGATAGTAGATTCCAACACTCCTTCCGGCACAACAGTCACGAGATTAGTTGCGTTTGTCAAAGAGTCTACAAAGTTGAAAACAATAAATTTGCCTCAACAAAAAGGTTAAATATGTAATTTAACTTAGCAAGGATAGGATAAAACGAATGATTTTATTAATACATATAAATTTTTCGTTACATTGACAATATGTATTGTAATATTTGTACATTACAAAAGAAGTTTTATGCATATGGATGTTATGAGAATTTTATTGTGTGCAAATGAAAGCTCTCGAGTAGATAGAATCAATGGATGTAATGAGAATTTTATTGGGCGCAAATAAAAGCTCTCAAGAAGATCAGGATCGATGCAAGTTCTGTTTTTATAATAGCACATAGATACTGCTTTATCACTTCAAACGAAATAGTGAAATTAAGCAAAAACCATATGCAAGTGTAAATTCATATAGGACCTGTTTGATTTTTGCATTAGAGCATAAGATTGGATTGTTAACCGAGTGATATGCACATTTCTCGCATTTGGATGGCATGAATGATGGCATACTTAGTAATATATAGGACTTCTAATCCCACAAAATTGGATGATATTCAATACCATAGGGATGCAAGTATTAACAATCCCACATTCATTCAACTAACTAAGCTGGACAATTAAACCCGTGGTTAATCCTATAGATTATGAAAAATGATATATAAGTCTATTTTCTAAATCAAGTGATGTGTCAAAAAGCTGATTGGCTGATAATTAGAAGAAAAATGAAAGAGATAATTGATTTAAATATTTAATAGAATGTCACATCATTGGTTCTAGAAAGTAAGTATACTTGTTTGGCTTGAATAACAATACTCGTAGACTATTAATCCTATCACTATTACTCCAACCAATCAAATAGGCCCATAATGTTTTACCTTTGTTTAAAATTGCTGATCATTTATCATGATCAAATTTTAAAAGTACTAAATCTCACTAAATCATAATTTAACTATAAAATATAAACATTGCATAATCCTATCGAAAACAATCATTAGCCGTTGATTGGAATCACCAGTATGCCTTAATGTACAGAGCCACAACAATCTGGTTTTTCCATGAGACAAATGAAATTGGCATATTAGCTCACATAGAGAAAATACTAACAACTGTTTCAAGAGACCACCATACCTCGCTCTACAAAAATTGGAATAGTAACTCATTCCAGACATCAGGCACGCCGGGCAAGCACCAGTGTATGCAATCAGAGTAACTAGCAGGGTTGGACAATTGTTCCGGGCTTAGTGTTTCCCAAAACTTGCGATAAATGGAAGGATGACCATCTTTTCGGTACTCTGTGAGCTGAGTGATATTGATAACGGCAACCTTTGAACTCAAATTGCTTAGCACCTTCTCCACCATGCGCATTGTAGGCAAGTCGGAACCACTTCCCCAATATGCTTCATCAATAATAGGGGTTTTCTCATTATAACAATTTCCTTCACTTCTAGGCTCCCATTCCCGACTCCTGAATTAGAAAAAAGAAAAATGGAAATAAATGCAAGTATTCAACAAATAGACAGATTGATGATGAATGACAATGACAAAACAAATGATTTAACTAGATAAAGAATCTTAGGTTTCAGTGCTTGACAGAGTTACACAACATATAATAATCCCTTCTAATAGTTTCTCAGCGACACACGTGAATTTGACTTGAAATTTTTTAGAAAAGTGGAAATGAACAACTGCATTTTCTAAGAAAAGGGTGAGAGGCAGAAGACCATATTGAAAATATGGGCCCGATGGACTGCAGACTATATTTTCACTATATAGGAACAGTCTATATGGGATATTTAGTTCCTACAAATAATGGATCCTAAGATGCTTTTTATAAGTTCAAATAATTGGATTGGTAAAGTTCAATAGACTGCTTTACCTTCTTAAAGAAGGATGCTAGGTTGGGAAGAGTGTTGATAGGTCAGTGCATGGGGAATTCCCGATCTCATACTAGGGTTGCAATTGAACATTTTATTATAGATGTAATCAGTAATAATTGTTGTTTGTTATCTATTTATTTTTTGGGTCGGGGGAAGGGGATCCCAGGACTCGAACCCTGTTGCTAAGCTTGGCTGGCCCCTAAGGGTTTGATGCTTTTCCACTGGACCAATTAGCCTTGCTCATCTATAATTTAATGAAAACATCAGCAATGATGAATTCAACTGTTGAATTAGCAATCCCCTTTGTTTATAACACAGTCACACAACCATCTAGCTCAATATGAAGGCACCAACTACATCACTGTAATTTTGTATTTTTTATTTCAATCGGCAGTAGATTGTTTACAGTATGAAGAAAATTACATTCAGACAATCGTAGTCCAACAACTATAGAAGCCCAACAAAGATCCCCATAATAGGGAAGAAACAATCAACCCAGAATTCAAACTAAGAAAGAATCCATGGGAAAAAAATAAACAAGACCCATAATATAGGAGAAATTGTCAATCTTTCCAGTTTCCTAGATAGAAGTGTACAAGAGTGGCCAATTGAGTTAGCCCAATTGGTTACATTATCGTAACTACCAAACTACAGATGGGAGGTATTTTGTTAAAAGTCTATGCAATAGTAAGAGAGGTAGATATCACTATAATCACAATGGAGTCATTTCAAATCCCGTGTCAAACACAATAAACTAGTTCAATTTCTACAAGAAACTCAAATACCCATTATTCAATAAAAATATTATACATGCTTAAAAAATTCTAGTCTAACCTCTGCAGTTCATATTAGGTTTCCTATTTTTAATTTAATTAAAGCATGAGATTACTTAAATCTTACTCCATTTTGCAAATCCAAGAAAGCAAGATAGTGCTGAACTTTGACAGAATCAACACAAGATAAAAGCTCAAAAAAACGTAAATCTTGGTTTTCAATTTAATTCAAAAAAAAATTAGAACACCCTAAATCTGACAATGGAAAGCAATTAAGAATAAGTGTCTCACCTAGCTCTAATGAAACCGAGATGCGTATTTCATGCAAAGATATTAGATATCAAACTGATGAAAACATAACACATTTCAGGAAAGAGGGCTAGTGCTCACCAAAGATGTGTAGGGGACGTAGTTACGAAAAAGACCCGCTTCTTGAGGGGATTAACATTAGAAGCCACCCAACTAGCCCAGGCCTCCATGGCCAATTCCATGCCTCCCAGACCATCTATTTCTTCGCAAATCCCATTCGTTTCAGAACTCCATCTGCAAAAATAATGGATATTATATACAGCATAAGAAAGCAACTTGAAATTGCATTTGAAACTCATTATTCCACAAATAGCATAGATGGAATTGTATACTCACAACAGCTTAACTGGCCCCTGCCTCCACCACAGGTATGTGTTGAAAACCAGTATATCAGCTTGCTCCCACTGAGACGCATGCTTAAGAACTGAATCCGGACGCATTATCCGTTCATCCAGTCTGTGATTCACCGGGTCATCAGAATTAGATTCAACGAGAAGTGGGGCCCACAGAAATTCCACAGTGGCATTGTATTCCTTTGCATTATACAAAAAACATCGAAATTTGAGAATTATGAGACAAGAACCTCAATATCTATCAAGCTACTCCTACTTGAAATACACCCTAAAGAATAACAAAACCGCATAGTATTATTAGAAGAGCACTTTACTTGATTAAAGTTTATATTTTAAGCTTTTTGGATTGAATTTTTCCTTACCTCAGCTCTGAAAACGGTGAGAGCCGCATTGGGTGAGATGGACCTCTTATCTGCTGGAATTATGGACTGTAACAAACATATCATCGATATCCACTGCCCTCTATTCAGTGAATCTCCAACAAACATTAGTCTTTTCCCCCTCAACTTCTCCCACATTTCAGTCACGTTCCATCTATATATGAACAAAAACAATCCTTGAAAACCCAATTAACCAACAAGAACCCAAATTTTAGAATATACACACCATTCTCTGCATAATATGTGTTGGTGAATATACCAAAGACAAATATAGAGCCAAGAAGTAAGAATCATCACAATGACAAGATGCTGAATTTTAACGTGGTTCGGCTAACGCAATCATACACTATTACTAAATAATAATGGGCTTACACATCATACACTATCATCAAGTAAATACAGTGGGTATTGTTAACTGAATCTACTGTATTGTTAAAACATGCAACCTATGTTACATGGACATGGATACAAGTATCAGGTGCGGGTGCGTGTATAAGCGTCCAATCTTCCAAAACCTAAATCTTAAAATATTGGAATATGTATCCAAAAGTTGGGTAGGGGTACGCACACACACTTAAGCACTTTGCATATTGTATAATAATATTCTTAAATAGGATGTTGTAAATTATTTAGAAATGTACTTCATATTAAATGAAATTTAGCGAAGTTATGAAATTTATTTATGTTATTCCTTTGAGAAGTCAGAAGTATATCTTTACTAATAAATATGAGTGCCTGCATCAAACATCACATAAAACTAGAACGTCTGAGCAACTAAATTAGGTATAGGTGTCAAATACATATCCTACACCCTTAGCTTTATTATATCGTGTAGACACGGGTACAGCTCCGAGTAAAAAGGTCCATGTAATGTAACACAACATGCAACACAAACACATCAAATTGAACCATTAGACCTTTTTTCTTGAGCTTAGAATCCACGTACCTCTTCAAATTGCAATTGTGGGGCTGCCATCTCCAGTACTGGTACCCCAAATCAGGCCGTCCATGCTTGTGGCAAGCCAACTGGTCAGACATGTACGGACAATCTGATTCATTATAGAGTGGGTGTGAAGTGTTGTCGAAAACCCATTTGCCGGAAAAAAAGTCACAACTCTCCTCAATTCCCCTCCCGCGACCCAACTCCGGTCTATGAACAATCTTCCCTGCTTTTCGACCACTGTACTTCACTGTGGATCTACAAGTACTGAATCTATCCAAAACCACTACAACAATTTTGAAAAACCCATGTCAAAATTCATCAAATCAGATCAAATAGAAGAAGAATTAAAGAGGCCCATGAATCAATATAACAAGAAAATGGGAAAAAAAAAAAATCATTCATTGGACACACAAACAACTCCCATTGAGGGAATGAACTAGGTATATATACCCACATACTTAAATAGACAAAGTGAAGTAAACCCGTCAAATATAATCCAACAAAATCAACAATTTAACAAAACCCATAAATCTAATCACAAGAAAATGGACAAAAACCCATTTACTAGACCCACAAGCAACCCACAGTGAGGGAATGAACTAGAATCAATGCATGCATATATAATCCCACATACTCAAAGAGACAAAGTAAAGTAAACCCATGAAATTAAACCCAACAAACTCAATAAATTAAAGAGACCCATCAAATCAAATCATGAAAATGTAGAAAAAACACACTCTTCAGACCCATCACTAGACTAATTTCACGAATACAGTCACACAGGCACAAAGTAAAAGAATTTAAACCTGGGAGGCTATAATTGGGGGGAACTGTAGTAGATTCGCGTACTGCTGTTTTCTTGAGGGAATCATCAACATGGTGGTCAAGGTTTTGATGGATTTGTTGAATACTACGTTCGTTGTAGAGAATTGAACAGACAATAAAGACGAAGAAGATCAGTGCTGCTAAGAGAGGGAAATGGGTTCTCTTCTTGTGCCATCTCTGCATCATTCTACAGAGACACAGGGAGAGGGAGAGAGAGAGAGAGAGATTCACAGACAGAAGAAGAGAGAGTCTATGTTGACTCGAAATTCTGATTTTTCGCATGGTTAGATTGATCTAAAACTGCTACTGCTACTGCTACTGCTACGCAGATCACTAAAAGCCGACAATGTTTATTTTTATTTATTTTCGCCGAAGTTACGAGTAAACAAAGTGATTAAACTAAAATTAAATGATCAGTAGATATTACCACTTGAATCAAGATTCAAGAACAATGATTAGTGGTCACTTTATTATCATTTTAGATGTTACCACTTGAATCAAGATTCAAGAACAATGATTAGTGGTCACTTTATTATTATTTTAACTTGTCCGGTATTCACCTCGGTTCAAACGAATCAAAATCGTTTCGTAATGACAACATAATTTTAAAATAATTAAGAAAAAGAAAATGAATACATAATTGAGATTTGGTGACAGTATTAAAGCGACTCCAATATTATAGGACCGGTGAAGTAAAAATAAACGGTTCGTTTGAAAAAAATAATTAAAGCCTGGTTTGGTATCTGTTATATAATTTATCTTTTTATCTTTTTATCTTCACATTACCTTTCTACTTTTCTGCACATCTTTTCGTAAAAAGACAAAAAGTACACTTTTTTAGGACACTCCAAACCAACCCTAAGAGTCGTTTGGGATGCCTTAAATAAATGTATTTTTTATTTTTTTAGATTAAAAAATTAAAAAAAATATATAAATGTTTAGGTTAATTTTTAATTTTTTATGAAAAAAATATGTATTAAAAAATTGTATAAATAAATGTGTAGAAGAATGGATTGGCAGTATAGTCGGTCGGGTGAATAGATGGAAAAGATTCTCTTTTTCAGGTTTTGATTGGATGGTGTTGTTCGGCTTGTGGAGGCCTACTACAGGTCCCGTTTTTCTAATTGGAACCGTTCAATGTGTAGAAATCGTCGAGTACTATATGATTGTAAAAATCACGTTGATTGGATATCGATAGCTATCTGATCGTGTTAGTTTTTTTTTGTCAATTGTTAACTATAACACCATCCAATTTTTATACAAAACTGATTTGATCATGTAGTTAGCGATATCCGATAGACATGATTTTTTACAAGCATATGGTATTAGACGAGTTCTACATATTTCACGGTTCAGATTATCAAAACGGAACCCATGGTGGGCCTCCACGGGCCCAACTTTACCATCCAACTTAGTGAATGTATACATGTAATTTTTTTTTTCCTTTCACTGCAGTTGGCTTGACGTCAGTACGTTGATGGGCCAAAAAGTTGATTTGTATTTTAATATTTATATATTATTTTTTTTATTTTTTATTTTTGGTGAATATTGATAACTTTTTGACTTTTTAACTTTTTTTAAACTTGCCAAACCAACTCTTAATCTGATTTTTAAATTTTTGATTAATTTAATCAAGTTGAAATAGTTTTATTTGGAAATAATTTTTATTTTTTTAAAAAAAAAAGTACAATCTATTATATAAGGAAAATGATTTTTTTAACCCACAAATTTTGTGGGAGCTCCAATATTTCAATATAAGTTTCTTAATTTTCTGATTAAAAAAAAAAAAAAACTCCCACCCACCCTTTTTAAATAACTCTAAACCCTATCTTTTACTTATCCTATTTTTTTCTTTACGCCTCCACAACGGCATCTTATTTCTCATAACTTTTTCGGTAAGTAATCTTTCATTTATTTTATTGCTTTTCTTTTTGACTTATTGTAACAACTCCGACATTTGATTAACGTCAACTCATGATTAAATAAGCCTGATAAGTAATTAAGATGAAATCATGAGTTAATTACTTATGCATTGCATTATTTGTGTTTATATCTGTCTAATGTAGAAATATTTGTTTGTGTTTCTATTTTGGTTTACGAATTGAAAGTCTTAAACCAAACCTTAAAGAATTTTTACCAAAAACTCTATTTCTATGGAGCTCACTTTGGTTTCAATTTCTCATTCACCCGATAATGGTTTTGAGCAACCAAATATACTACGTGAATCACAACACGACATAGAACACATTACCACTTAGACCCGCCAACTTTGGCGGATGGATTCCACCTAAAAAATAGACTAAAGTTGAGAAAAAAATCTTATTTTTCAAAACCATTTCTAACAGAGGTGGCAACGGCAAGGAAGCATGAGGGGGCAAGATAACAACGGCGGATCTAAAAGAAAGAGAGATATTTTAGTAGGGATGGTAATGGAGAACTATCATATGGTACTATGGAGACCTGATTCAAATATATGGATTTTTCTCTTTCTTTTTTTTTTACCTATCGGGTCAGGTAAGTAGTGTTTTTTAGATATCCATTGGGAATGGGTCAAGGATGGGACCTACTTATTTCCTCCATATGTTTTCACTACCCTATTTAGAACTAGGATTCTCATTTTCACAGCTTGCTTTGCTAAATGCATAACATTTGCCATATCTTCCTCCGTTTTTAAAGCATTCATTTTCACTTTCTCTGTAATCTCATTTAGCCAGTCCATTTCCTTTTGCAAATTCTCTTTTCTGCTTTGCAATTGCCTTATCCCAAATTTGTCAAAGTAGCTTGACAAACTCTAATATCATCCCGAGTAAACAAGACTGCTTCCTCATCTTTCCTTAAAATATTCGATTCGTTTTCTCCACTTTCATATTCTAAATCACTTTTTCTTCCTTCACAACTTCTAGTGAAGCCTCCCTTTAGCCAAAGAAAGGGCCATTGTTAGTAACATTATAAAAGTTTGAGGTGAGAAGTGCAATTTATTCTTTCTTTTTTTTAATCACATTTTTTTTTCAATTACTAAAAACTTATTTGTTTCAAAATTATATATTTGATTATTTCAAAAAAAATTAATTAATTAGATGATTAATGTATATTTGATTTTGTTGTTGAGCGAAATAAAATAAAATTAAATGTATATTTAGCTTTGGCTGTGAACCCTTGAAAAAAAAAATGAAAAAAAAAGGGTCAAGTTGGGTTGGGAAAAATCTAAATCCATTAGGGGATGAAGAGGGTAGTATCCATGGGAAATGAGGAAAAATTATTATAGGGGAATGAGGATGGGAAATTACTGTCCGCCCCATTGCCCCTAATTGCCATCTCTAGATTTGAGTGAGTGAGAGGGGTTTGGACTGTGTGCATACGATATATAAGGAATGGTATTGAGTTTGTCCTTTTGAATAAGGTGTTTCAGCACCTACATTTTTGGGCAAACAAAATTAAAATTTAGACTTTTGGATCGAGTGTCCTAAAAATTATCAATACAAAAATTAACTTTATCAGGGATCTATAAATACAAGAACAAATAGTATTTTATTTTATAAAATAGATATTTAAGTCTACAATTATATTTACTGTTCATTTTATTAAAAAAAAAAAGTGATTTGTTCTTGTATTTATAGATGTTCAACAAAATCAACTCTTTGCATGAATCACTTTCATTGTGGGACTTATGAGAAAAACGATTCAAATTATTAATGTAGATCCTAATTGAGACCTACAAAAAATATTTGACTGGGTATGGAAAAATAAAAGTATGGCAGGAGGTCATCCCCTAAATCACGAACATTATTCAGGCCTTGTTTAGGGAGTAACCATTTTGGTTAAAAAGTCACTATAAGTTATCACATCACTCTTTTTATTTTTTTGTACATATTTTTATAAAAAGTCAAAAAATTATTAAAATAGTCTGTTCTCAAACGAGGCTTAAATCTTATGGGAACTGGATTCACATTCTTTTTCCTTGGCAAAGTTGAAATTGCCCAAAAGAAAGAAGAAAAAATGATTAATTACATTAATACTTCTCACCTATTGATGAATATTATCATATTCTCTCACTTATAAGTTTTTACTAACACTCTTAACTATTAAAATTATACATTTTCATCCCTTTTGGAGGAGGCAAAATGAGACATTTATATGACTTTTAGAATTAAAGGATCAAAATATATGGAGTCATTGATAAACGGATCAAAACATAAAGATCAAAATATACGGATCAAAATAAAATGATATTTATTAATAATTGAAGGGTCTTGATGTAATTAACTCAAGTTTAAGAAATATCCCATACCATGTCCAAGCACCGTTGATCAAAAAAATTGAGATTATGAGTTAAAACAATTAATTATGCAAAATTTTCAGTTAAAAATTTTCTTTTTTTTATTATTTATTAGTTTTTTTTACACCCTCAATCGAGTATTAAATTGTTTTGAATTTCACAAAGAGCTCAAATTATCAGTATAAAGATGCCAAGAAAGGCTTCTCAATATTATGATATTTGTATGAAATAAATGACTTCCTAAAGCGTCAATACCCTATCATATTTGATGGGATTATAAGTTTGATTAAAATAAAAGAAAATACTACGCACATTAATTTTTTTATTAATAGACATTTCATGTAATAAAGAAAATTGTAGAATCTGAAATAAGATCAACTTCGATAACGTGACAGGTGCTACAATCATTAGCATAAAAGAAATAAAAAACAAAATTGTAAGATTTATTAGTTTCGGGGAATTCCAAAAAAGTGGATAGTGAATTTTTTTTCTTCTCAACTAATGAAGGTACAAGATTTATTTACATAAATTACTTGTACCTAATAAATTATTTGTACTTTCATTATTTTATAATTATTTTTTCACTCTCCATTTTTTTGGTATTCTCTCTATTAGTTTGTACAATATTACTTTAAAATTAAAGAGGTAAAAACTTTAGGAAATATATTTTTTTTGGGGTTGAAAATAAGAAAGGTGAAAATTAAAAAAAGTTAATTTTTTTATACAATCTATATGAGCATAGTAACTTCTACAGTTTCTAGCAAAAAATAGCGGGTTTGTGTGTGTAATCTCATTTTCCAATTTACTTACAAATTTCTCACCCAAAAAATAAAAATAAAAATAAAAATAAATAAAAAAATAACAAAAGTATTTAGAAATAAAAAAGATAAGCATAGAGGAGCTCATTCCAAACATCAGGAACTCCTGGAAGACACCAATGTCCACAATCTGAAAAACTCGGAGGCTTTGAAAATTGTTCTTCAGTTAAAGGCACCCATTGCCTTCTGTAAATAGATGGATGAGCATCTTTTCGATACTCCGAAAGTTGTGTTATGTTGAGAATATCAACTTTCACACCTCTCATTTTCAATTTGTCTATTGTTGCTTCCATTGCTTGCATCATTTTGGGCTTTGATAAGCTTCCCCAATACCCCTCTTTGAAAATTGGCTCTGTTTCATTGTAACAATTTTGATTTGCTTCCATGCCCCATTCTTCACCCCTGCAGTGGACATTGCATATTAGAATAATATCAATTCCAAAAATAAAAATAAAAACTGATATAGCAATAATAACACCACACCATACCGAAGATGACTGGGAGACATGCTAACAAAGAACAATTTGGTGGTGGTATGATTGACATGCTTCTCCAACCAATCTGCCCAAGTCTTCAAACCCATATCATATCTTCTTACCATCTCTACTTGTTCCAATGTTGCATTCCCATTCTCTGATGATTCCCACCTGTTCATGTTCATAGCAAAGCTATATATAAATATCTGATTTTAATCATAAAGTACATTGAAAATTATCTGATTGTATGTCTTCAAACCCATTAATAATGCTTTGGTTGATCAAAATACTCTTTATTAAATGTACTTACAAGACTTTGATTGTGTCCTCCAGCCACCAGATGTAAGAATCAAAGACAAGTATATCTGCATCGGTCCAGTGTCTGGCATGCTTTTCAATGGCTTGAATTCTGACAATCCGGTATTGGACACGGTGGTGGAACGGGTCATCGCAGTTGGATTCAACCAGAAATGGAGCCCAGTAGAAATCAATTGAGGCATTGTATTCCTTGATTTACAATCAAGAACCAATTAGTCATTCCAGTCGAAAATCATCACCACTACAAAAGTAAAATAACCAAGAGCGAAAGTGAAAAACTTATTTTGAATCTCGATGCACCAGCAGGTATAGATTTTCTATCCGATTCTATAAGAAAACGGGGAGGCTCATGATTTGATTCCCCGAGTTTCTCCACCTAGGTAAGGAGTGGGACAGAGACGAGACACTACAAATCTTGTCCCAATATCCTTCCCGGGAAATTATTTAATAATTCCGGAATACCACGTGTCACCTTCCAAGCCAATCATCAATTACTTAATCTTCATGTTGTTCCCCATCCTCAACATAAATCGTGGGCCCCTAACTCTCTCTACCAATCAAAACTTTATGGAACACCATGTATCCACATTCCGAGAATACTAAATAATCACCTTTCATTCCTAATCTGCACCACTCTGTACTAAAATTTTTCAAAAAAGTGCAATTGACTGCACTGCATTCATCCTGGTGAACAATTTCAATGTTTGTAGCCTTATGGTGAAATATTTATGTGTTTGTAGCACTACTGGAAAAAAAAAAAAAAAAGAAAAAAAAATTGTAAATTGCAAGGAAATGAAGAAAAGAAATCTGGACTCACAATAGCTTTGAAGGTGAACAAAGAGCCATTGAAGAGCCTGTCCCTGGACTTGAGCGGTGCAGGGATTGAGGACTCGACCAAGCACACCAATGAAACCCATTGATTCCTATTCAGCGAATCTCCGACGAAGACAAGCCTCTTCCCTCTCAGCTTCTCCAACAAAGCTGTGGCATTGAACCTTGGAAGATCACAATCATGAGGTTGCCATCTCCATTGCTGATACTTCAAGTCCTTCCTCCCAAACTTCTCACAAGCAAAATCATCAAGCATGAATGAACAATTCTTCTCTGTGTACAGAGGATATGACTTGTCATCAAAAACCCATTTCCCCGAAAACAAATCGCAGTCGTTTTGTGAACTTTTCTGATCTTCTTCTACCATCTGTTTGCTATCTTTTGTTAGAAAAAACCCAGTAATTATACAGGCTGCAATGAAGAGAGCTATGAGGGAATGAAAGCTCAATCCAATTCCCCATTTTCTCACAACTACTATTTGCTCTGTTTTTGTCATTAATTTAGCTTGCTCTGCCTCTATTTGGCTCATTGTTTTTTTAGATGATTGAATGGGTAGCAGCTTGGCAGGTGATTAATTTGATGATTGTGAGGAGTAGTTGAAGTTTAGGTGAAGTATTAAATTTTGTAAATTATTATGTTTTTCATTTGGGACTTGGACTTTTTGTTAACTTGCCAGACAGTGATCACAATAATCTCAGGTAAGAAGTGTCTAGGTTGTCTCTTACCTAGGTTTGTCTTTTTACTACACAACAAGAATAATAAAACATAAAGAAAATGTAGTAGTTGTGTTTGTGCACTCCTAATTTTCTTTTTATTGGATAGTGGTATACGAAAAAACAGGTTTTGGGTAGTTGGATTTTCAAATCAAGATTCTCTGTCACAAATCATTCAATGTGGTCATTTTCCTTTTTTAAGGCATCCAACATCATTTGAAAAATTATTTTTCAACAATAATATGGATTTTTTTTCAAAAATAGTTATTTTAATTGATTTTTTAATTTTTTATGACATGTAGAAAATGAAAATGGGTTGACTATACTGAAGTGCTTTTTACACCACAGTAACAGTTGTGCGACCATATGGGTCCATTTTGGGACCCCTTTCAATAATCCAAACCATTAACTCTTTAGAATATATCGAGTAGAATATATCTGCAAATATTCAAGTTAATCAGATATTGTTAACCATTTCATCGAATTACATTTGTATCTAAAAAATAAATGATAAATGTGATTTGAATTATAAAACTGAATACAAATGCGATTGGATGAAAGTATTAACAATATTCAATCAACTTGATTTTTTGCAGATATGCTCTACTTTTTGTACTCTAAAAGTGAACGGTTCAGATTATCGAAACGGGTCCAGATGGCCATACAACAGTGACTGTGTGGGAGACATAGTAGTCATCCCATTCCTGCAAAAGTAGAAAGAATAGTTAAATTTTTTGTAGTGATTTTTTGATTTTTTGACTATTTTAGTTTACTGTCAAAATAGTCCTACGTATTCAGAAATTTTTTTTAGAAAAAGTGCTTAAAAAAATATATTTATGAATTACAATCATTCTTAATTAGACCAACATTCATATCACCAGCTTTAAAATTACATACTCCACCTTACTTTCGGAATAATTTTCAAAACAAAAATCATAGTAAATACTAGCATTTTTCAATTTTTTCTTTTTTTTTTGCCTCTCTTGTAAGCCATTGTCAATTACACTTTTCCTCTTACGAAATTGCTGGCTTTCAAACTCTTCACCAAACGAACTTGTACAAGCTTGACAAGTCCTAAAGTTCAATTTTTTACGTGAACTTATCATGGTGAAAAATGTAAGCATAGAGGAGCTCATTCCAAACATCAGGCACTCCAGGAATACACCAATGTGTGCAATCTGCATAGCTAGTGGGGTGTGCCAATTGCCATTTAGTAAAAGGATTCCAAAACTTCCAGTAATAGATTGATGGGTGGCCGTCTTTGCGGTACTCAGTCAGTTGTGTTATGTTAATCATTTGTACTTTCAGACTTCTCATTTTCAATCCATTTATCGCTTTCTCTACAATACGCATCATTTTGAAGTCTGTTGCATTTCCCCAATGTACCTCTTTTGAAATTGGTTCTGATTCATTGTAGCAATTTTGGTTTGGAGGCTTTCCCCATTCTTCACCCCTATAGTGTCATGGACATTATTGTTAATGACAAATTTAGTGCCACATGTAGATGAATGCATTTTTAGGTTGATAAAAGCTTGGATTCTCTTCAGCTGACTCGAAAGTCAAGTTCAAAATATGTGAGAGAGGTTGTGGGTTTCACATCTAGCCAATTGCTATGAGTCCACAGTCTCGTGTGTATATTTTTTTAATAGAGTCTACAATTTATTGGAGAAAAGTCAGCTCCAGTCAATAAATATATATTTTGATATGATAAAAAATAAAGCTATATAAAATCTCAATTTTAGTTTGTGCTAGGGCCAATGATTCTCATTTTCCAAAATTCTCATGATGCAGTTTCTAATGCATTTCCAATCGTACGATGCGGAAGGAATTTTAAAAGATGAGAATCTTGATGTACGATCATGCAACTGAAAGTGTATTGGGGATATGAACACAATGCCTTGTGCTAGAGACTGTATGGGGCCAATCGATACCTTTTGAAGTGTTGTCAATTTTGCAGTTTAATTCATAATGTGGATCAAATGGTAAGAGGGTTCATGAAAGTGCCTAAAAACTCAAGTGCAGTTTGATTGTTACCATACCGTTCATGAGTTGGTGACATAGTAATGAAAAACAACTGAGTCTTAGTACGATTGACATGAATTTCCAACCAATTTGACCATGTCTCTAGAGCCATCTCAAAGCAACGCAACATCTCAACTTCTTTGTAAATTCCATCTGAACTTTCAAATGATCCCCACCTAATCACCATTAAAACCGAATTTTTTAGTTACAATTCCAACTTGATTAATAAAATAAAAGGTTTTATTCTAACTGTATGTTTCAATGAAGATATTTACTTACGGAAAACGTTTTGATGGAAAATATTTCTTATGTTTGGTTGTGAACTTGAAACTAATGCAATAGCGATTGTATTAGTAGTGTAAGTAGTGCAATTTGTAAGATGTTAGTCTACAAAAACACTTATTTTCCGTTAATCACGTAAAACATTTTTAATTGACTTTCATTTTGTATCATACTAAACCTAGAAAATTTCAAAAGAATATTTTCAGCTGAAACAAACTCAGGGTTAGTTATTGTACCGCAAATATGCTTAGAATTACTTACAAAACCTTTATTTTGGATTTTCTCCACCAAAGGTAGGAGTTAAAGATGAGTATGTCTGCATCAGTCCATTGCTTGGCATGCTTTTCAATTCCCTGGACTCTCACAATTTGTTCCATTGATAAATGGTGGGCTTCAGGATCATCAGACTTTGATTCCACTAGATATGGTGACCAATAATGCTCAACTGACGCGTTGTATTCCTTCATTGCATTTAATCAACACTTAGTACTATTTGATAAAATTGAAAATTAGAAAATTGAATGTCAAATTTTTTTAATTTGAAAAAAATGAAATGTATAAAAAAAAATTTAGTCATGAATTTAATCAATTTGTTTGATATGTAACAAAAGATGATGTTTAAACTTAGTTTTTAGATTTTTTTTTCCCCTCGTTATATTGTGGTGTTGGGTTGGTAGCAATATAATCATGTTGGGTTCATAGCATTATGACCACAAGGCCGATCCTGAGTTTTTAGGAGCCTAAAGCGAAAAAAAAAAAAGCGTCTATATTCATAAAAAAAGGGAAAAAAGAAAAATCATCATGTTTGGTACCACTACCGTCCATATCAAAATATATTCATTCCAAAGTATAAAATAATAATAATAATAAATAAAAATAATGAAGAAGAAGTTACCAAAAGGTATAGTTCAAACCAACAAAACAAAGTAATTAATCAACAAATCTAATTAATGAAATGTTTCGGTGGTGTAAAGCAAATATAAATGATTTCACATTGTGTTAAATTGAAGAGTGGGATAATAATTTTGCTTCACCAACAACGTGAAGCAAACATAAATGCAAACATAAATAGAAAGGAAACATGACTATATGGTCAAATTTTCACACAAAACACACATTCCACTCACTATATGATACCTGATAACAAAGAAATTATAGAACACAATTTAATAAAACAAAATTAAGACAAAAAAATTACAAAAACTTTATTCAATTAAAATATGATAAAGACATAGGACAAAATTATTTATTCCATTAAAATTTGATAGGTTATAAGAGAGAAAAATTATGATAAAATCATTCTATTGTTTGGGCCAACTATACTTCTATATGTTTTAATTCATTTTTTTTCAATTGGGGCACATTTGTGATTAAATATTTTTTTTTAATTGGGTCCAACAGAATTGTTTGGAACCCTTTAAACTGGCCCTAATCAACAAAAACACATTTGGCCTATTTAAATTTTAAATATACTACTAATAAATTTGATAACTCTATTTTTAGGCTAAATTTTGAGGCTAAAGCACAAGCCTTAGTGGCCTTAACCTAAGGCCGGCCATGTGTTACTGTGGCGGTGGTGTGGCAATGCTGGTGGTAGTACGAAGTTGTTGCGGTGCAGCGGCTTGGGACAATGGTGGTAAATGGAGTGGTGGTGTGCCGACAGTGATGGTGATTGTTTGGTAGCAGTGGTAATGATAAGATATGATGGTGAAACACTAAGGGTATGTTTGGTTTAGATTTGTAGAGTGATTTTGGAAAAAAATTTCTAAAAAATTTGTTTGGTTAGTAATTTTTCCAAAACAATTTCCAAAATCACTTTCTCTCTCTCACAAATCAATCAATCACTTTTTCTCTCTCCTCTTTCATTCTCAATCATTTTTTCTCTCACAAACATCTACTCAATTACAACAAAATATCAAATCATTCCAAACTCCCAAACTCCAAAACTACTTTCAAAATACACAACCAAACAAACCAAAAAAATTTCTAAACTCTCTCCCTAAAATAATTTTAAAAAACTACTCTTTCAAAACTAAACCAAACATACCCTAAAAGTTTAAATAGTTTAAATCATTAAAGTAGGCTCCATATTAGCTCACAAGCCCATCAACTGGACCTTCTAGTCCAGTTTGTGAACTGTAGGAAAGTCTCATCCCAAAATAAAATTGAGAGTAAAGCGTCCCACCTTCAACTCTCAAAATTGAAGTGTTGTTTTGGAAAGTTGGTAAAATATTAGTTTTTGGCTTTTTATCAAGTTTTTTGGCTTTTTTGAAAGTGATTTGGGAAGTTTGTAAAAAACTGACTTTTTACTTTTAGTTTAATATTTATTTATGGTGCCAAATAAAATTAAAATGATCAAAATACCCTTACCCAACATAAGAGATTTATTTTTTTATTTTTTTTCAAAGGGATTTTGTTGCGTTTTTGGCAGCCACGTTTTTGTCCAAAAACGTGACTTTTTACTATGTTCCCAAAATGGCACTAACAAAATTTAAGAGCCCAAAATATTTTTATTTCATGTGATTATAGTAGCTGAAAATTGAGGCCCAATCCAATGTTTTTTGTTGTTAAGCCGAAAGGAGACGCCACTATTTACACACTACATTTGGTCTCAAGGCACACCATTAATTGGTTATTTTTTATTACAATAATAATTTTACCTAAAATGGCTACAACTGAATACACACCTTAGTTGAATATACATTCAAACCCTAACCCTAGCCATCACTGTTGATGTTTCTTACTTCGATGACCATGGCTTAAGCCCTCTGACGCATGCCACCAAGCACGGCCACGCCGATGTGGTGAAGTGCCTTCTCGAAGCCGGCGAACCTTGGAACGCTCTCTCTCATTCCAACTTATGTGTTGGCGACTTCGCCATGGATTCTGGCCACCAAGAAGCCTTCGACGTCCTTCTCAATGTCGGTTCGTAATTGTCTCTCTCTCACACACATACATACACACATACACATTTCCTGTGACATTTTAGATTCATTTTAATTATATTGGATCGAACCCTAATTACCAGCAATCAAGATTGGGTTTAGTTCGGGATTCAGAGAATTCAAGAAATTATGGGAAACTAAAAGTAGGGTTTTTTTGAATATGGGACTAAGGGAAAAAATGGAACGTTGTGGTATGTGTTGAGAAAAATTATGTTTTTTCAAATTATTAAAAATGTGAACTGAGTAGTGGTGTGCCTTGAGACAAAATGTGGTGTGTAAATAGAGACACCCGCCAAAAAGTCCCAAAAAAAGAAAAAACTTACAGATTGGTCTCATTGACCAAATTTATTTACTTATAAGTCTAGTTCTTTTTTCAAATATCAATATCTCAGAAAGTGTTAGAACAAAATAACATTTTAGGTGTTATTGGTGTATTAAAAAAGTGTACAAAATTTATAAATAACTAAATCCGTCACATAAAACTAACCTGTAATTTATCGCAATATATATATATATATATTGGATGTCGGGTTGGTGCTATGATAGCACACATGCTGTCACACCTGTGAGGTTTATTCGGATTATATTTTGATGATCTAAACCATTCATATTATAAAATTTATTGAGTATATCATTCATATAAAAATAAATTTAATCGAATAAGTATAACCCCATGATCAAGCAAAATAATAACTTAAAAAAAATTATTAAAATCACACTAACTATTTATTTTTCTTAAACATAAACATAATTTTGTTATGAGTTATAAATATATAATTAATTTAAATTTTTCATGAATAATATACTCAACAAACTTTACTATAAACAATTTAAATGATTAAAATAAATTTAAAACCTGCCTTCAAAGGCTCCTAACACCGTATTGCGTGTATAGGTTATATAGGGGGGTCCAAAATAAATTATAAAATATATTGGGTAAAGCTTGTAAGTAAAAAAACTCCATTAGCGTTGGAAGCAAGCCGTGACAGCAAACGGAAATGAGGCAAACTGTGAGTGATTTCTACGGCAATCGAATCATCGAATCACCGACAGTGAGTCCTCTCACTCTCTCTCTATTTGTGCCCTAAATCTAATTTATGTGCCCTAATTACTGTTTTAGATTCACTGTTCTTATTTGAGAACTTTGCTTATTAATCCACTATCTCGTTGTTATGGTTTATTTATTTATTTATTTAAATTATTGATGGCATTGTTTTTTTTTTTATTTTTTCCCTAAATTCTACGGCAATCGAATCATCGAATCACCGACAGTGAGTCCTCTCACTCTCTCTCTATTTGTGCCCTAAATCTAATTTATGTGCCCTAATTACTGTTTTAGATTCACTGTTCTTATTTGAGAACTTTGCTTATTAATCCACTATCTCGTTGTTATGGTTTTTTTATTTATTTATTTAAATTATTGATGGCATTGTTTTTTTTTTATTTTTTCCCTAAATCTAACTTCAGTGCCCTATTTTTTTTAATTTAATTTTGTTAATTTCTATTTAATTTAAACTTTGTCATGCTTTTGTTTTGCTTGGATCAGATATCCTCTTCAATTGTTGGCCAATTTTGTGGGTGTTCTTTGGATTGTGGGTTGAATTTCTGTTGAGTTTTAGATGATCTATGTGGGTTGAATTTGTCTTCCATTTGGATTTGATTTTGCAATCATGGTTCCTAAGATGTATAGTTCTGGATGTGAAAAAATGAAAAAGGAGCAAAAATAGAAAAATTAATACAGTTTTTTTTTTTTTCCATGTATGTATAAAGGGCCCTCATTTTAATGGTTTGCCTTGGCCCCCGAAAAATTCAAATGCTGCCCCTGAATAAAACCCCTTTTTTATAAACCCTCAATAAATCTCATCTTAATTGCAAGAATAGATATGAAAAAAATCATATTTATGATTTCACTTTAGGCTTTGAAGATTCTTGGGCCGGTTCTAGATTTGATCATGGCGGTGGTAATAGTAGAGATAGCAGCACAAATTTAAGATCAAGTCATTTTTGTATTTTTGGAAATTAAAGGAGACAATTGATGGTCATCTTTATGCCTATGGAAGGAAGAATAATTTGAAGGGCATAGAATTTGCTCACAGAACCAAACATAACTCTCTTACGTGGGAGGAGGCGGGACCTATTAAACGTGTGGGTGCTACTCTATGTAAGAAAATTGTGTCCAATTCTGTAATTGAATTTTGTGCAAGTAGAAAAATTGGTGGAAGAAAATCTTGACTTACCATGATCTTGAAGGTGGCAAAGTTGCCATTTGCATACACAGATTTGAGGCCTTGAGGGATCAATGACTCAAGCAGGCATACCATTGAACCCCATTGGTTTCTGGTTAATGAGTCCCCAACAAACACAAGCCTCTTACCCCTTATCCTTTCCAACATTGCTACAGCAGTGAACCTTGTTTGTTAACACAGAAAAATTCCACAAAGCTCAAAAGACATACTCAAATATAAACCTTATTATCCTCAACAAGGTGATAGGATCCTTTGTTTGGCATAGAGTCCTGTTTTTAAATCTTTCTCAATAAATTTTCAACCATGAGATAATAGAAAAAAAATTAGAGAGACTTGAATCTCGAGACATAATCCAATGGTCCAGAGTGCATTAGCATAATGGTATAGAGGATTTGGAGACAAAAGATATTTGGCCCCTCTGTCCCAAGTCCTTTTTTCCAATCTCAAAACACTCACATTCATTGAATTATGTCTCAAAATTCTCATATGATTCAATAGCTATGAGTGTTTTGGAACAGAAGGATAGAAAAATTTAGAGACAGATGATTCTTTGAGCAGGGGCCTCTGCCATGTTCTTGTTGTGGTTTTTGCATTGGATATCATCCAATGGCCTAAATTTAAATAGAAGTAATAAAGTTACAAAATTTAAAAAAAAAAAAAAAAAATTAATACCTTAAAATGATATCCCTTTTTTTATTACATTAAATTTGGGGTGTTGGATAGTCCTAACAAGATCTTGGTAGAAAAAATCACAACAGAGGATCCTAATTCTTTTATCCTACGCTCAGACGTAAGAGAGAGAGAGAGAGAGAGAGAGAGAACCTTGGGATGTCACAATCCTGAGGTTGCCACCTCCAATGCTGGTAGTTCAAATCTTTTCGCCCAGACCTCTCACAAGCCAATCCATTGAATTTATATGAGCAATTTTGTTCTGTGTATAAAGGGTAGGACTTGTTATCATATACCCATTTTCCCAAAAACAAGTTGCAACGCCTTGATGATCTACCCTCCGTTTTTAGTATTTTTTGATCACCTAACCACCCTTTGCTTTCGCTGGTAATGTAAACAATGCCAAGGACCAAAATTGCCATAAAAACCAAAGTTATAGAGTGAATGTTCCATTTGATTCCCATTACCCGAGCTCAACTCAGCTGGAGGGGCCTGGCTTGATCTCAATTGCTTCGAGTTTCATTCTTGTGAAGGACTGAGCCATCGGTTCAAGTACATGATATTATCATTATTGCCTGGACAATTTACACATCCAATTTCTCATTTATCTGAGTTCATACATTTTTTCATAAAATAGGAGTGAAACCATATGGTTGGATTCTTGCAAACAATAGAAAGAGTATGTTATGTATTGTTTTGTAAATTGACTAAGATACCCTTCTTAATTGCCCATGTAATGTCCATTCACAAAACCCAAGTAACATTACTCATTTTATTGAATAGTGGGTGAAAATTGTGTTTAATTGAGAAGAAAGAAAGTAATTGAGCTTTAATGGGGCACCTAAGACACTTTATGAACTAAAGTGCCATTAAGATTACTTAAATTGAGCATTAACGGTACGTTTTGTTGGAAATTTTAGACATAGTGAAACATAAATGATTCGCACACATAATTTTTAGCCTAATTTCAATCTTATGAACTTTCTCCATACTTTATTAATTCTTGAGGTTTTTACGTTTTTGTACGTCATGTTTGGATCTTGGATCTTGAATTTGTGTAGTGAAAAGAATTGAAAAGGAGAAAGTGAAAAAAAAAAATTATATTTCTTTCATTTTTTCCTCCACAAATTTATCCCCAAATCCAACAATTGTACCGTATTATGTGTATTGCATGCTTAGCCTAAAAACAAGTTAATTAATCAATTTCATCTTTAAATTTTTAAAATTGTGTTAATTTGGTCCAATTGATAATGTCATTTAAAAAATTAGATTGAAATCAATGAGCAAAATATTTCATTCACTGTCTTTAAAATGATTAAGGGTTGGTGAGTAATTTAAAATGGTCCCATTTTGTGTGGATCATTTTTCCATTTATTTTCTGCCCATTTTATTAACAGGCATTTTCAATTGGATTAAATTGACACAATATAAAAAATTTAGGAGAAAAATTGATATAATTGAAACTAAATATACCAAATTGACACGTAATACAAAATACAAAGACCACAAGTATAATTTTCTCCCCTTTTTTTTTCATCTTTAGACATGCCCAACCAGCTATTTTAAATGTTTGGTAATCCATGTAAAGGATCCTTTAAAACTAATTATTTTATGTTGGCTTGAATTGGCCGCTACGCCTTCATTTTTATACTTCTGATATCATTTTATATGAGAAATAATTTGTATATGTTTACATATATCTTTCCCTTATTAACTAGAAATTTTGCTCATAATAAGATTAATGGCCTACACACCTGAAAAATCACTCTTTTAGACAATCATGAATTTAGGGCTTTCTTTTTATCTGTTTGGTTTGTTCTTAATTGGCTACTTCATGAGCAACCCGCTTCCTTAATTACATGATTAACATGAGAAATTAAATTTCAACCAAACTAGTAGGTGACACTACTAGTGATCCATATTATAAAATGTCTATATCCATATTCCCACAACCTGTAAAAGCCTTCATGTTCAATTCCAATTATAAAAGTTCAAAATCATTCAATGTCTGGTTCATGGAGAATTTTTCACTTTTTTATTTTTACTTTGTAACCTATTGTTGTGTCAGTTACATTTTTCCCCTTAGGAAAAATTTTATGTGACAGTCAAACTTTTTACTATACAAATTCTGTGTAAATTGAAGAAGTCTCAAAGTTCCAATTTTTCTTTGAACTTATCATAATGAAAAATGTAAGCGTAGAGGAGCTCATTCCAAACATCAGGCACTCCGGGGAGGCACCAATGTACGCAATCTGAATACTTGGTGGGGTTTGCCAATTTCGCTTTAATTAGAGGCTTCCAAGGCTTGGAATAATAGATTGATGGGTGACCTTCTTTGCGGTACTCTGATAATTGTGTTATGTTAAGTATTTGTACTTTCACACCTCTCCTTGCCAACCCATTGATTGCCTCCTCTACTATATGCATCATTTTAGGATATGATTGACTTCCCCAGTGTCCCTCTTTTGAAATTGGTTCTGTTTCATTATAGCAAGTTTGCCCTGCCAGTTTGCCCCATTCTTCACCCCTGCAATGTCATAGACAAGAGACTGAGGGTTAGCCTTGTAAATGAGGTATTTTTTTATTGAGCATGATGTTTGGGTTTAAGTTTCACCACTCCACTCCCCTTATTTCCTTTGTAGTTGATAAAAATAAAAATAAAATAATAAATAAATAAATCAAAGTTATTGCATTTTTAAGTTGATATGGATTTTGAAATAGCAGTAAGCACAACCCTCATTAAATCTCAATTAAGGTTGTAAAATGAACCAAATTACTCGAGTTTGACTTTTGTTCGACTTGTTGAGATCAACTCATTATACAAAGTTAAACTTCAAAAACATTTTGAAACTCACTAATTTTTTGAGCTTGACATAGACTTGGCTTGATAAGTTTATACACACTATAGAACTACATAAAAAATCAAGCTACTTGAGCTTAGTTCGTGATCAATTTGATTGAAGCTCATTTGGAATAGGCTCAAAACGTAATCAAATAAAGCTTGAACTAAATTGTTTAAGCTCAATAAGTTTTCAAACCAAATCTCAACTCAGCTCAACTCTAACTCCTTTACTACCCTAGTCTGAATATTAGTTTAGGCCAACCATGATATGGGCCAATCAATATCTTTTGTAGTTTCATAAATTTTGCATCTTTTTTCTTCATAATTTACATCAAATGGTATGTGGATTCACCCACCAAAGAACCTAAGCTCAAGTGCAGTTTGATTGTTACCATACCTTTGATGAGTTGGTGACATAGTAACGAAAAACAACTGGGTCTTTGTACAATTGACATGAATTTCTAACCAATTTGACCATGTCTTTAGAGCCATCTCATAGGTACGTAGCATCTCAACTTCTTTGTAGATTCCATCTGGGTCTTCAAATGATCCCCACCTGATGGCCATTAAAATTGGAAAAAATAAAAATAAATAAAAGTTCAGCTGTTAAAATTGAAATTTTAGATACAATTTCAATATGTTTGGTCAAAAAAATTAGGTTTAAATTACTTACAAGACCTTCAACTTTGGTCTCCTCCACCAAAGGTAGGAGTTAAAGACAAGTATGTCTGCATCAGTCCATTGTCTGGCATGTTTTTCTATTGCTTGAACTCTCACAATTTGTTCTAGTGAAGAATCATGTTGCGTCGGATGATCAGAGCTCGATTCCACAAGAAATGGTGCCCAATAGTGCTCAATTGATGCATTATATTCCTTCATAATATTGCATTTGACCAACACTTAGTGCCACACCTTTAAAATTGAATGGGGTTTTTATTCAAAAGTGACAATTGATTGTCACCCTTATGCCTATGGAATTTAATTTGTACTCACCATGATCTTGAAGGAGACAAAGTTGCCATTTGGGTACCCATTCTTGAGGTCTTGAGGGATGAACGACTCAAGCAGGCAGACCATTGAAGCCCATTGGTTTCTAGTTAACGAGTCCCCAACAAACACAAGCCTTTTACCCCTTAGCCCCTCCAGCATTTTCATGGCATTAAACCTTGTTGACATTCAAAAATTCATAAAACTCAAAGACATAGTCAAATATTAACCTTATTATATCTTATATTTACGCACACAAATGCACGCACGTACGCTTGTGTTTGATAGAGAGAGAAGACAGAGAAGGAGAACCTTGGAAGATCACAATCATAAGGTTGCCATCTCCAATGCTGGTAGTTCAAATCTTTTCTCCCACCGCTCTCGCAAGAAAAATCAATGAACTTGAATGTGCAGTGTTGCTCTGTGTATAGAGGGTAGGACTTGTTATCATATACCCATTTGCCCAAAAAGAAGTTGCAAGGCAACAATGAACTACCATCATTTCTACTTGCTCTCTTATCATCAATCCACCTTTTACTATCTCTAGTAATGTTAACAATGCCAAGTACTAAAACTACCATGAAAATAGAAGTTTTAAAGTGAATGTTGCATCGGATTCCCATTATTTTGGGAACTACTTAGTGTGTGCTTGCCTTTCAACATCCTCCAGTTTGCATCATCAATTGATATTTTGATGAAATAGAAGTATTGGAACCAAATGGTTGGATTGTTGCAAACAGTAGAGATTGTGATTTGACTGATTACCCTTTCAGATTTAAAGAAATCAATTTATGATAGACCTTAACCATCCAAACTTTTATTGGACAAACCGTGTAATCTTCATTAGATTTTGGTACTCAAAACCCTTGAATTAGTTTATGATCTTCTCTTTTAACATTACATTGCGTGTGTAACGCTAAAAATTAATTAATTGTTGGCAGGTGAAAACTGCATTTAAACGACAAGAAGGAATGTGATTGAGCTTTAATTTGGCATCTAAATCAATTTATGAACTGAAGTGCCATTAAGAATACTTAAAGTGAGCATTAAGGAGAGGTTTTGTTGGATGTTTGAGACATGCTGAATTTTTTGCAGCACTATTTTATGGAGAAACAGACTATTCCCCGTCATAATTTAACCCATTTTCCAAGCCCAAAATTTAAGTTAAATAAATGATATGAAAGAGGCTAGTATATTTTTGTGTTGTATTGCTCCTTCAAATATGTTTCTTTCTTAAACAGGTATGAACTATTCTGGTCACGCTCCTGTAGAGTTTCCATACATTAGTGACTCCCTCCTATTTTTATCCGGCCAAAAAAAAGGTTAGTTTTCTCATACTATCCATGCTTCTATTCATGGTCTATTTAAAATTTTCTAGTGTACAAACTATGCAAAATTCATATATCTTGAATTTTTTTTTCCTCTTCAGAAAAATTTGTTAATAGTGAAGAATATATGCATGGAGAAGCTCGTTCCAGACATCTGGCACTCCAGGAAGACACCAATGTGTACAATCTGCATAGTTTCTAGGGTTTGATAATTGCTCTTTAGTTAAAGGGCGCCATTGCTTCCTGTATATAGATGGATGACCATCTTTCCTGTACTCCGATAATTGTGTTATGTTGAGCATTTGTATCTTCAGACCTTTACTTTTTAATTTGCTAATTGCGCCCTCTATTATTCGCATCATTCTGGGTTCTGATCCACTCCCCCAAAATCCCTCTTTTTCAATTGGTCGTGTTTCGTTTAAGCAATTTTGATCTTTAGGCATGCCCCATTCTTCAGCCCTGCAATATATACATACATATTATTATTCATTGTTCCCAAATTGGATACTACAATATTTAAATTTACCAATGGAATCAAATTTATGATCTCTACAAAGTTATCTTACCGGCTGTGAGTGGCTGTCATGCTAACAAAAAACAACTGGGTCTTGGTACGATTAACATGGGTATCTAACCAATTTGACCATGTCTTTAGAGCCATCTTATAACATTGCAACGCATTTACTTCTTGGTAAACTTGATTAGGGCTTTCAAATGAACCACGCCTGAACATTGTCCAAGAAAACAAAAATTCACTGTCATGTCAAAACTATATAGTGAAACACATTCAAGATGTGCAAATGAGAAATTTCTAGTTTGATCAAAATAGAATGTTAGGTTTGTAGAGTTTACTTACAAGACCTTCAATTTTGGGATTCTCCACCAAAGATAGGAATTAAAAACAAGCACATCGGCATCACCCCATTGCCTAGCATGCTTTTCAATGGCTTTAATTCTAACGATTCGATCTGATAAACTATGGTTTGATGGATTGTCAGAGTTCGATTCCACTAGTAATGGCGACCAATAGAAGTCAATTGAGGCATTGTATTCCTTCATTGCATTGAACAACAATTAGTCACTGAAAATGTACATAATTTTAGATCTGGTGAAGTTTCATAAAGCAAGACACAATTCTACATCCAAAGCTTGGATGATATTGAACTTGTTTAACTCAATTTTAATTTTAGAAGCATAAAAGAGCATACCCATTATTGTTCATCTTATCATCAAACCTTAATTTCTTTCTACTTCTTTTTTTAGATTATAATTTATATTTACATATTTCCTTGTAGTTTGGTCTTAGGGGGATTTATCAACTTTGGTTGGATTTTCTTTCATAAACTGAACCCAAAAGAAATAAATAAATAAATAAAAGTGAATTGTGCATTGTAAGTGTCTTTATCTTCTTTTTTATTATTTAATAAATGCATTTGCTTTTGTGTTCATAGGTGGAGAAAAAAACTGATTTGTAGATCAACATTTTCAATAATAGGAAACACTTCTAACTACAAATTAATTTTTTGTCCTCCTGATTTTCATAAATGGTGAGAAATTATTATCTTACAAAATTATATTTACTGCTTCCACACATCTTATATTTATTAATTTTAATAACATAATTGGTTCATATTACATTAGTCCTAGTCTTTTAATTATGTCAATTTGTTTGTCAAATTACAAATTTCGAGTTTAAATGATTCAAACAGTCACTCTGTCTTGATGGGAGCCATGATATTTTTGAAATTTTACATAAATCCTTTATTGATTATTGGCTCAACTTCTCCATTGAAGTCAAAATTGACTGCAAAGTGAAGAAAAAGAAGTGAGCTATGAATATACACGAATTAGTCCCCAAAGTAAGTACTCTGTTGCATTTTGGTCCCCAGCATATTCACTTTGTTGCATTTTAGTCTCCAATTGCATGATTTTATTGCTTTTTTTTTTTTGTGTGTAAAATTTCAAAAATACCCCTACTCCCATTAATAAATTTAGACCGTAACAGGGTTAACCTATGATTTAATGAAAAAAAAGACAGTTTTTTTTATCTCATTAAGTATAATGAGAAAAAACGGAAAGACAACATTAATTTTTATTAATTTCATTTGAGGAATTGAATTTTCATGCATTAGAAGAAAAAAAAAGAAAAAAGAAAAGAATTTCAAGCTAGTTAGAAGGAAAGGTTGGACTCACAGTGGCTTTGAAGGTGTACAAAGGACCATTCAAGTGCATGTATTTGAGTGGTTTAGGGATTGATGAGTCAAGCAGGCAGACCATTGAAACCCATTGGTTTCTATTCACTGAATCTCCCACGAATACAAGCCTTTTGCCCCTTAGCCTCTCCAACAATGCTTTGGCATTAAACCTAATCAGACATGAAAAAGCATACCACAAATCTTTTTTTTAAAAAAAAACACACAATTTTAAGGTGCAAATCTTATTTAGTACTACTACACACCCAATTTTTTTACTCAAAATTTCATTCAGAAAAATTAGTTTATGGTTCAAATTCATTCTAGAATTAGAACTCACACAATACGAATTCAATCTCTATCATACAATCTCATTTTGTGTAAAAATATGGGAAAAATTTATGAATAGTAAATCTATGGTATCAAAAGATTTCTCAGAAATTTGTCCAGAATGATAGAGCAAAGTGTATATTTAAAGTTGTTGTTGTTAGGCCACTCCTAGAGTGAATCTAAACTATAGATTTGAAATTTTGAGTATTTTTTTTTTTGTTTTTTTGGATTTGTAACATTGCTGTAATGGACATATTGAGTCATATTACCAAATCTCGTATCCATATATATTTTATTTCCGAATCTGTGATTAATTTTATGTTCATAGATATATTCAAACTCCACAAATACAGTTATATTAGTGGCTTGATTGTAAGGCAACTTAAGTGATTTACTATACAATGTATATATTGCATTAAAATAAAGTCAATAGTGAAAATAAAGTTAGTAAAACACACAAGTAGTCAATTTAGTATAAGTTTTGACAATTTCAAATATACGATTTTTTATGTTTTGTTTTGGTTTTCTGTATAACTTTAAACAAAATAAATTAATACACAATGATAGTTTGGAAAAAAATAGTTTTTATCTTAAACATAACACTCTTTTTTTGAATTGATAATTTATATTTATTTTCAAAATTAACAGTTTTCTTTCAATAAAATAAAATAAAAAGTTTTGCAAACAGAATAAAACACATCGATTGACAAAAAATTATATATTTTCCTAATGAATGTATTACTTATAGCACCTTCTTGGTTTTTGCTTTATTGATACTTCATATACGAATTTTCCTTAATTCTTATTCAATAAAGTTTTTTTGCCGATCAAAAAAATATATTACTTATTGAATATTATTGACAATGCCTAACAAGTTTTTCAAAATTAAATTATTGATAATATAATTGATATGTCCAAAAAAAAAAATTTAAATAAAAAACTTAATTACTAATCTTAAAAATTATAACGTCAAAATTATAAAAGACCCACTTGATTTTTTTTGTCTTAAACCTGAAACAGAAAGGGAAAAAAAATTGTCACACAATATGCAACAAAAGGGGTTAAAATGAGAGAGAGAGAGAGAGAGAGAGAGAGAGAGAGAGAGAGAGAGAGAGGGACCTTGGGAGATCACAACCATGGGGCTGCCACCTCCAATGCTGATAGTTCAAGTCCTTCCTTCCAAACTTCTCACAAGCCAAATCATCAAACATGAACTTGCACTCTCTATCTTTGTACAGAGGATAAGACTTGTTATGATCATATACCCATTTGCCTGAAAACAAATCACATCTTGACAACAACGAATGATCAACAACATTAACGTGATCGTGGCTCTTATAATCCTTTGTCTGATTCTGATTCTGATAATAATCCAATAATATTTCTTTGCTGTCTGTGCTGTGATAAGCTGCCAAAGTGACTAACACTGCACCAAGAACAAAGATGAGGGTATGAAATCTCCATCTGATCAAACATGACCCTCCTCCATGAACCATTTGGAGTCTCTTTGCCAGTGCCATCCTCTCTCTCTCTCTCTCTCTCTCTCACTAATTATCTTTTTTATTAGGAAATGTTATTTATTGATGGTGAAGTCAATAAGATATACAAGCATAAAATATATACTCCATATGTCTCAAAATATTAGTCTCTTATTAAATTTTTTAATGTCTAAAAATATTAGTCTATTTTCAAAAATTAAGTACAAAAATAATATAAATTTTCTATTTTGCCATTCTTTTAAATTTATTAAAACATAAAAAGTACAATTATGACATTGATATTTCTAAAAAAATATACTATCAAAAGGTAATTTTAGAAAATCAATTTTTTTAAAGTGCAATAATTGTACTATCTAAAAAAGTTGAATTTCCCAAAAAGAACCATTATTTTGGGACAGAGGGAGTATAAATTTTTTTTTTTAACGGAAAAAAATGATGCTCTGAGGTGTCATCATGATCTCCGTGGATTTATGTCTCAGGGTAACCTGTTGTCGGCCTGATTTAACCCAATCCATAGGAAGAGATCCATTATTGAGGCACCGGTAAAGTTCATCAACCACCGTCAGCAAGGCCAAGGTTTGATCGGAGTACAGCACGAAGTCTCGAAGAGAACCGCTAAAAAATACTCACTATTTCGCATCTCCCAAGAGTCAAACTTGACTCATTGCTAGAGAAGGCAATGCCTTCACCACTAGGCCACCACTCCCGGTGGTAAAATATACTCACTTCGTCCCAAAATAATGATCCATTTTTTAGAATCTAACTTTTTTTGGTAGTGCAATTATTGCACTTTAAAAAAATTAATTTTTCAAAATTATCATTTGATAGTACATTTTTTAGGGAATATCAATGTCATAATTGTATTTTTTATGTTAATGAATTTAAAAGAATGACAAAATAAGAAATTTATATTATTTTTGTACTTAATTTTTGAAAATAGACTAATATTTTAGGACAATAAAAAATGAGATAAGGGATTAATATTTTAAAACGGAGGGAGTATATAGAATGATATGGTAAATTTTGATTTTGATTTTAATTTTATCTCTTTAAAAAGGAAAGAATGTTAATTAAGATGACTTAGTCAAGAGGGTAATTTTTCTCGGTGTAGAATGACATGACTTTTATGGTTATTTTATTTCTAACCAAAACACCTTTCATTTCTAGTTTTGATGCAGAATTTATGAACACATAAAATTTTTATATACTTAAAAATTATGCCAGTATACCATTTTCCTTTTCGTAAATGTTATGTATTCAAAGAAAATATCTAAAAAATGTATTTAGAATATGGCATTAGATTTGGTGTGGGCCTGAGTCACACCTAGTGAATTTGATTCATGCATTGAATAATTTTCTAGGTATATTTCGAGTTGAAAAAATTGTAGTTAGTAATCCTAGCATTATATTTAGATTAAGAATTTAAAAGAAAAAAATAATTTATATTTCATTTATATATATATATATATATATTTTTTAATTCCTACTCTCCATTCCATATAATGACAAAGAAATAAAAATGCAATTTTATTATTAGTTTAAATTAAAATAGATTATGGATATTGTGTGACAATTTTATTAGATGATATAGAATCTCTCAATTATAAAAATAGAATGGAAAGGATCACAATCCGGGAATAGAGAACCAATATCCTAATGAGAGTGTTTTTTTTTAATTCTCTTGAAATCATTTATTATATGTCCATAGATTATGTAATCATCGAGAGAGTGGCATAAGTGCCAACAACATGGTGAGAATGGTTTGAGATTAGCACAGCAATGAAATCACTGTAAAAACATTGTAAACTTAAATCTTTGGAAAGTGCATCACAAAGCATATAATGTTGTGATGTTGACATTTATGATTTATGTATAAAAACATATTTATTATTACATTTGTTATTGATATATTAGTGGCATATTATGTAATAAATAAAATATAAGTCTAAGGTTTAAGATTTAACATCTAAGGTAAATGTAAGAAGAACCAGCACACACAATTTTCTTAATTTTATTTTCCTCCAAAACCAAAGTATGACTAGAATAAGCTAGGTGTTTTTTTTTTTTTTAAAAAAAAAAAAACATTTTCTTGGATGAAAAAAGTCTAAGAAGATAAAAACCAAAAAAACATAAAGTGAGTCTCACACTCATATCATACAATTATGTTTAATTCTATAATTAATTATCTGGCAAGATTCGAAATAGTTTAAGAAACTGAGGGACTTTAAGGAAATAATTCAAATGTAAGGTTTTTTTTTTTTTTTTTTTAAAAAAAAACATTTTCTTGGATGAAAAAAGTCTAAGAAGATAAAAATCAAAAAAACATAAAGTGAGTCTCACACTCATATCATACGATACAATTATGTTTAATTCTATAATTAATTACTGTGTATGTAAAAAGATTTGTTTTTACGTTATATTGTTTTTAAAATTGAGACTTTAGAAATTATGTTTAATTCTATAATTAATTACTGTGTATGTAAAAAGATTTGTTTTTACGTTATATTGTTTTTAAAATTGAGACTTTAGACGGCCTAATTAATTAAGAGATGAATGAGGAATCGTCCATGAAGATGGTTTTTGAATAAATGCAGTAATGGAACTTATTAATTAGGCTATGACTTTTTGAAAAAATGCAGATTTGTTACAAAATTCAGGGATGGTTTTTGAATAAATGCAGATTGAAAGAAACTCCTAATTTTTTAGAATAATATTAGATGCATCAGTTAGTGTATTAATTAAGGAAAATGTTATGAACCTCAAATAATCTATCAAATATTTTACCAAATCTCTCACATAGGTATGAGACTCACACAAACTCAGGTTTGGTAAAACAATTGGTAAATTATTTGGGTTCCCTAGCATCACTCACTAACTAATGTACCAATTGATAATGTGACATAATTTAAGAAGTTTTTGATATTTGTAATGTGATTAATGAGTGGGGTCAATAATAATGTTATAACTAGTTTTGGTATAATACACTAATTGGTACATGTAGCACTACCTAATTTTTTAAAAATTGCTTTTAGTTACCAATTGTTTTAATTTTTTTTTTTTTATTGAAGACCCTAACGAGTTTGTTTATGCCCCTACAATAGGAAAATTGTTTGCTGATTCAGAATGATATGATGTCACTTTAGCTGTCGATTAGTCATACTTGGCCAGATTTACAATGTAGTGTAAAGATTCTGGATTCAATTCCTATGGGGAAAAATTTGATGCTTATAGTGTGTATTTTTTCTCTCGTTATTATGGAAATTGTTTTACTAGTACTTTGACTTAGGTCAAGTTTGGCATGACCTAAATAATACAAAAAGTTAAAAAGTCACTATCTTATTTAAGTCACATCATTTTATTTAAATCACATCACCTCTCTAACACATCACATCAAACCCAACCCAAACCCAACTCATATAAACCAATAAGTCAAAAAGTACATTTTTTTAGAACATCCCAAACCAACCCTTAATAGGGAGGCTCACCCTGATACAATTTTGAGAAAAATTACACCTCGGTCTATTATATATATATGTATAAATTCAAATCAATTTATAAATATTAATAATGAAATTTATTAACTTTTTCATTAATTTATAAATATTTTATGAAAGTCCCTCTGAACCGTAATTTCTCCTGCATTTTTTAAAGAGATGGGTATCAATAAGATCAGTGGCGGAGCCACTGCAGGCCTGGGGTCACGTGCCCCCCTTCAATTTTGAATTTTTTTTTTTTGGCATTATTCACACACAATATGTAGTTTATTTAGTACTCTTGGAGTGTCGTGTGGTGTTATTTATATGGTGGTCTAAATCAATAATATAGTGTCAAATTTTACGAATGGAACATAATAACTCATTATTGTTAGGTAATTGGAAGGTAATAGGTGAATCATTTAGTGTGAGTTGCGATTTCTTATATCTAAAGCACCACGTCATCAACACCACATAATATTTTGAGATTATCTATTAATTTCTATTCAAAACACATTTTTATAATGAATACTATCTCTCTAATATTTTTCTATCAAATAAAAATTATAGAAATTTTATAATGATTTGTGCTATAATGATTTGCTTCTATTTTCTAAAATTAAGAATTTTAATTTGTAATTTTTTGTACTAAAATTGCGTACTTACATTACTATTGTGTCCGAGTTATTCCACATTATTATAGAACTTTGATTAGTTGTTATTAATAATAAATAATTAAATTTTTATGCTTAAATTTTGCTCATAAAATTATTATTATTTTCTTATTGATCACCAAAAATAAAATAAAATTATAATGTACCTCCTTTACCTTAATTTCTTAGCTCCGCTACTGAATAAGATATGATTTTGAATTTTATTGAGTTATCCAACCCTTTTTATTTTATTATTATTATTATTATTATATATAACATATTATAAGATACTAGTGCGTTAGTAAGTTAAATTACAACGAAAATGTCGCAATTACTCGAATTCAGAACTTGAGGCATTCTCATTAAGAGACAGTTCCATGGACCATTGGGCCAACTGTTTTATCCGAGTTATCCAACTATTATTGATCATAATTTATGTTTTTTTTTTCTTTTTTTTTTCAAATCGATAGGAGAGTAATTACAAATATGAGACACATCATCAAACTAGACTGTTAAAATCTCAGCAATAGTTAGAAAGCCTATAACCACCATTATCCAAACACAACCCCATACTAAAGGAGATAAATAAAATTACAAAATATATCAAATTTCTTTTTGTAAGAGTTAAACATAATTTACCAAAAGCCTTAATTTAGTACATATTGAATGTAACAGTGATGCCGTGTGGTGGTATCATCATTCAATGAGCAATCTAAAAAGGGCCATAATATTGAGTTAGTACGAAACAAGACATATCTTTTTGCAACTTTTTATTAGAGAATGGCACTGATGTTGTTACTGTTACCATCAATATTTATTTTTCTAATTTACTAATCAAATTATTTAATGACATAGTGATCTTGAGCTACTAATAAAAACTGACTCATAAACATGAGATTCTCAATTGCCTGAAACCATAC